ACAATGTTAAGCAAGAATAATGTGTTTACAACTGATGAATCTGGGCAAAAGATGTATGGGTGTTCTCTGTACTTTTTTTTTTTTTTAAAGACTTTATTCACTTGTCAGAAAAAGACAGACAGAGAGAGAGCAAAATTAGCAGGAGCAGCAGGCAGACAGAGAAGCAGGCTCCCTGCTAAGCAAGGAGCCTGATGCAGGACTCAATCCCAGAATTCTGGGATCATGACCTGAGCCAAAGGTCGACGCTTAACCAACTGAGTCATCCAGGCATTCCCCTTTGTACTACTCTTATTCTTCCAACTTTTTTGTAAGCTTGAAAATATCTCCAAGTAGGAGCGCCTAGGTGGCTCAGTAGGTTAAACATCTGACTCTTGATTTCAGCTCAGGTTATGATCTCAGGGTTGTGAGATGGAGTCTCACTGTCAGGATGCAGGCTAGGCATGGAGTCTGCCGGAGATTCTCTTTCTCCCTTTGCACACATTTCTCCCTCACCCTGGGCTTGTGCATGTGTTCACACTCTCTCTTAAAGTAAATAAAAATATTTTAAAAAGAAAAAAGACATTATTTCCAAATTAAAAATCTAAAAATAACACACTCTTTGCATAACTTATGTTGTTAGAAGTTAGGCTAATGGTTATTCATTACGGCAGAATACTGAGTATAAGAGAGCATGATGGGGCTTTCAGTATGTTAATAAAGTTATTTCTTGATTTGGAAACATTCACAAATGTGTTCAGCTTGAGAAAAATCATTTGAGTTACACTTATGTGTACTTTCCTATAAATATATTTCGGGGTACCTGGGTGGCTCAGTGGGTTGAGCCTCTCTGCCTTCGGCTCAGGTCGTGATCTCAGAGTCCTGGGATCAGGCCCTGCATCGGGCTCTCTGCTCAGCGGGGAGCCCTGCTTCCCCCTCTCTCTCTCTGCCTGCCTCTCTGCCTACCTGTGATCTCTGTCAAATAAATAAGTAAATCTTTAAAAATATAGATATATGTATTTCAATAAAAACTTGACAAAATAAAAAAGACCTGCCAAAGGACCAGAGCAAAATTTTCTAGAGATGTAGTCTAAATAGTTTTGTATTTCACTGATTAAAAAATGGAAAACACTTGCCTATGTATGTCTGTACAATCTAGACAGAGGACTCTTTGAGGGTAGAGATTGTGTCTTCTTTCATTTATCATCTATACCACCTAGTAGAAGCTTACCATGTAATTTCTCAATAAATACAGTAAGTAAATAATTCCTTAATACATAATAAATACCTTATACTTTTCATTAAGGTATTAGTCTTTTTTTTTTTAAAGATTTTATTTGACAGACAGAGATCACAAGTAGGCAGAGAGAGAGGAGGAAGCAGGCTCCCCACTGAGCAGAGAGTCTGATGCGGGGCTTGATCCCAGGACCCTGGGATCATGACCTGAGCCGAAGGCAGAGGCTTTAACCCACTGAGCCACCCAGGCGCCCCAAGGTATTAGTCTTGATCCAGTTATTTTACTCAATTTAATTATCAAATTATTCATTATAAATAATATCTCAGTAAATAAATATGCTTGTTAGTTGGCATTGGGCTAAATGGAATCTATTTTTCTTTTTAATTGTATAAGAGTGTATTTGAGCAAAAATCAATTTGAATTGGGCTGTGCCAAACTGGAAGTGGTTAGAGTCCTCTGCCTCACCTGTAGGAGTTAGAAGACTTCTATAGAGAAGTGGAAGCAAAGCAAGGAAGTTATTTTTGATTGGTTATACCTTAAGAATTTGCCTTATTTGGGAAGGTCTCACTGACTACTTGTGATGGGCTGTCCTTAAGTTTTTATTTTTTATTTATTTTTATTTTTAATTTTTTTATTTATTTTAAAGATTTATTTATTTGACAGACAGAGATCACAAATAAGCAGAGAAGCAGAAAGAGAGAGAGGAGGAAGCAGGCTCCCCACTGAGCAGAGAGCACCATGTGGGGCTCGATCCCAGGCCGGTGATCATGACCCAAGCTGAAGGCAGAGGCTTCAACCTACTGAGCCACCCAGGTGCCCCAAGTTTTTATTTTTTATATTGAAGTATATAGTTGACACAATGTTACATTAATTTCAGGTGTACAACATACTGATTAGACAAGTCTATACATTGTGCTATGCTTACAAATGTAGATACCATCTGTTCTGTTACAATACCAGTGATTTCCCTATGCTGTACCTGACATCCCTGTGACTTAACTCATTCTATAACTGGAAGTCTATATCTCTAATTTGGGAACCATTTTAAGATCACATTAATTTAATGTTACAGTTTAATTACTTAGCCTTTGGTCCCAATTCTTCTATCCTGAAATTACCCTATTGTAAAACGTTGTTCTTATTCATCCCTACCAAAAAGTACTGTTAAAGAAAATTAAACGGAGTTTGAGGATTCTGTAATAGTCCTTCATATACACAGTGAGAAAACAGAGGAAGAACAATCTTGGCTGGAGGCTGAGAAAGATCATTTAACTCACACTTTTCACAACTCTTTTTTTTTTTTTTAAGATTTTATTTATTTATTTAACAGACAGAGATCACAAGTAGGCAGAGAGGCAGGCAGAGAGAGAGGGGAAAGCAGGCTCCCTGCCAAGCAGAGAGCCCAATGCAGGGCTTGATCCCAGGACCCTGGGATCATGACCTGAGCTGAAGGCAGAGACTTAACCCACTGAGCCACCCAGGTGCCCCACTTTTCACAACTCTTAATATTTTTCTCCTCTTAATCAGTTCCATGTTAGGACACAAGAAACATGTTTTACAGGTCACTTAGATGTCCTCTCTGATCAGGACTTAGAAGTGATTCACCATGACTAGTCTACTAGCCCTTGTATGTTTTAAAAAGGCAAAAAAGAAAAACTTCCCATAGCCAGGCACAGTCTCATGAGCATTGGGCTGGGATGGCAGAATCTATCCCAGCTCTCAGCTAGATACCGGTGTCAAGTACAAATTGTACATCCATATGCAGCCACCCTGTGACTCATCTTTGTCTCAGAAACTTTATTTCCTTCTTAAAATCATGATAATGATTTAAAGTAATTTATTTATTAATCTACATTTTACATATATTCCCACATTCAATACGGCACTTGATTTCTTCTCTCCAAATGAATAATCATATCATTTCCTTTTATAGGAAACCTTCCTTTTTTTGTCCTGTAGCTCTTCACTCACATCAACTATGAGTATTTACCTGATAAGCCATGATAGTACCGTAATACCTCCAAGTCCTTTTACTTCCTACTAGTCTGATCACTTGATTTTGTATGTTTATAAACTTATTAATAACTGCATGAGTGGATTCAAACTTATTTTACACAAGAGACTCCTAAATGAAGGGCAAAGCTCTTTGGGGAAGAAAACTATTCTTTTTATTGCATAATTCTCTTCAAAATCCTCATACCTACAAAGAACCCTACAGGCTAGAAAATGCTTTTTGAGATAGGTAGCTGCCTGCTTCTTAATTTAGTTAGATACCTGAGACAAACAGTATTCACAGATTTCTAATATCTTTCATATAAATGGTTGAGTATCTGAGAATTGAGTCTTCATTATATATGTTAACTGTAATCTGTGTCCCAAAAGCACAACATAAAAGACTGAACTGCAAAACAGACAAATCAGAGTATACTTATAAATTAACTCAAATACAAAGTTCCTTTAATACATCTAAATTAAACAAATGTATACATATTAAGCAATATCTGCTATACAAATCATATATGTATATACATATATGTAAAACCTATTACTGTTTATATGGTAAAACCTTACTACTTCTGAATAGTAGCTAAATGCTAATTATAAAAGTTTAACACAACTTATTTTCAATTATCTTTGTTGACTATAATTGGGTTAGTAGTGTGCCAAAATATAAAGGTAAAACAGATAAAAGATTTGCTTTTTAAAATATATACGAATTCATAATCAAGCAATTATTTGAATATGTTGAAAAACATTAAAGTTTTTTGCTATAAAAAAACAATTACTTCAATCTCATTTATATAATGAATCTGTTTGAGAGATTTTATTTAAAAAGAAAATATCAGTTACTGTTTTATTTTCTGCCTAATACATAAAACAATCAGTATATATTCAATAGGTGCTCTTTTCTGGGGCGCCTGGGTGGCTCAGTGGGTTAAGCCTCTGCCTTGGCTCGGGTCATGATCCCAGGGTCCTGGGATCGAGCCCCGCATCGGCTCTCTACTCAGCAGGGAGCCTGCTTCCCCCTCTCTCTCTGCCTGCCTCTCTGCCTACTTGTGATCTCTGTCAAATAAATAAATAAAATCTTCAAAAAAAAAATAGGTGCTCTTTTCTCAAAATAATACCATGTAACTGGCATCATTATGTACCATGCCAAATAAAAAGGCTAAATAGTTCCAACATACATCTGTCTGCCTCCCTTCCAACACATTCATTATGAACAATTCATTAGTTTTTATCTGGCTTTCTACATAATTTAGAATAACGGAAGCGCCCCAAAATCATTAGACTGAGAGTGGTATCTATTATCAAAACATCTCTATAATAGTAAAAAAAAGAAGAAGAAAGAAAAAGAAAATACTGATGCATATTTAAAATCCTAACTGTATTGTTTTCATACTTAGGATGTACCTAAGTTTATTTTACGACTGTATAATATGGGTGATATAACTTTGCATCGGACCTGACGGCGCTAACAGTCCCATTTTAAATTCTTTTTGAGTAATTAAAAATTAAGTTAAGAAGCATCTCTGCATAAGCTACATAAACTGATTTCAAAGGTTTAAAAAAAATGAAAATACAAAACTCCCCAATTCACAAAACTAAGAATAACACTCTTCTTAAATATTAACAACCCTTAGCAAGTTGTCCAATTTGTCGTTCTAGAAACTGAGTAATGTTTTAACTCAAGAAAAAGCACACATTTATTATTTTTAGTGATCATACACTGATTTATGAAGTAATGTTTCAAAAATTGTTTTTAAAAACATGTTTCTGGAAATCTTACCATGAGCTGTGTAGTTTGTACAGTTAACTGGTTCTTGTGTAGCATCATTTATTTTTGGATCTTTACAAATATATCTGAGAAAAGTTAAGGAAATATGAACCACATTCCAACACAAAACATTATCATCTTGTCTTTAATATCTTGTATTACATACTCATGTTTACATTCACATGTTAAAAAAAAAAAGCTGTTGGTTGGTCCAAAGCAACAAGAACAACCACAAATATACTTTCAGCACCACTAACTACTACTTGAACAGTAATTTATTACAGGAAAAGTGTATTAACTTAATACATATTAAAAGCTCTAGCCAAGGATGCCATCCTTAAAGAACATCAGTCAGGGTTTAAGCATAGAGCATAAAGGAAAATTGGAAATTAAAATCTTTACCAAATTATTTTAAGAAAGCTTCAGGTTAAAAAAAAAAATCAATTTCCAAGCATTTGATTGAACTAATTTATGGGGCCCCATAGTATCGTCACATACCTAACTTCATATAGTACAAATAAATAACCCTGTGAAGTAAATACTATTATTCCCATATTACAGAAGCACAAACTGAGGCTCAAAGTTTGAGAGACCTATCCAAAGTCATGTAACAAGTGATAGGGAGTAAAATCAGGTTTCCTGATTCCAAGCCTAGAGTGCCTTCCATTAGACTGCAGAGAAGATAGCCCTTTTAGGTGAATCTTCAGTCTCCCCAAGAGGATCTTAAGTTTTGAAAAACAGGTATAATAACTGTCCTCTAATTTCAAAACACTTGCAGTTGGCTTTTGTTTCCTAAATATTTTATTGACACTAAAATGGGATAAATAAGGTGTTCGCCTTATTTATCTGATACCTGTTTAAGGTTTTTTAAGCACTACTGGAAACCTCATCTTCAGGCCAGGAGTAGCAGACATTCTCCAGTCTTCATCACCAAATGCTCAGCCACATCTCTCTGGGGTTCAAACTGTACAATTCTTCATACAATCCAATTATTTCTTAGAATCGCTCTCACATTTTTACCAAAAAAGACTCAACTTACTAGGTCAGTGATTCTCAAATTCCAAGCATAATGTTATTCAGCAAATTGGAGCTATTGTGTAAACCATCTAATAATGGCTGCCTTTCCCTAACTCACATAAAAATACTATAGGAGAGAATTTTCTTAATTTTAAAATTCTGTCTCTTAGTCTTTCTCCTATCTCTGGCTTCCGTTACTAATTTTTCTGCTCTGTAATTTGTATAAAATTATCTAATTTTGTACAAAAGTAGCTATTCTAATTTGACTGTAACTCCCATTTCATAAGGGCTCCTCCCTTCAGCAGAGCTATTACAATGAACTGTTCCACTTAACCCCTTCAGCCTCAGTTTCCTCATCTGTGAATAAATAACATAGATAGTCCTTATTATGTGCCAGGAATTGTTCTATTATGATTCACTTGCACTAATTTCTCACAACAAACCTTTCAGTTGGTAATTGTATATTCTGTTGTTCTATTATGATTCACTTGCACTAATTTCTCACAACAAACCTTTACTCAAGAGAAAACAGAGTTCAGATAATTGGCCCACAGTTACAACACGGAGAAGTAGTTTGCCCCCTGACAGTCTGGCATCTTACGGAGTTTGAGGATGATGTAAGGTAATACGCACAGAGTTAATGATAACTGGGCAATATACAAGGGATACATCGTTATTAACTACTTATTTGTCTCCGGCCCCAAGTCAGCAAACTTCTACAGTGGAGCCTATCAATTTTCCTATTACTAGGGCCTAGAACAGGGCCTGGCATACTTCAGGATCTGGGTGTTTGTTGAATAAGCCCACCAGTAATTAATTAATTAATAATAAAAATAAGGGAATTAGAAGACGAGGCACTAACCATCAGTAAAATTCCAAGGAAAATCACACAGGGTGACCGCTGTTCTTCCCACCCTCACATCTCTTTTCACCCCCCGAGTCCATCCGTCATTAAAAGCCACAAGTCACCGATCCCTTAAGCCAACCCGCGCTGAGGGCCGCGACCCACTTGCGACCCCTAATCTACCTCGCCCCCAAGGCGGGGGGGGGGCTCCTCACAGAGGATATTGTCCCAATTTGAGGTCCTCGCACTTAAGCGTCTCCTCGCCACCAGCGGCGGCGATCGCAGCAGCTCCCCAAGGTCCCGTGGTGACTGACACGAACCACAGGACACCCAGAACCTGGGCGGCCACGGCCTCCGGAGTAGCTGGCCCAGACGGCCAGGTGGCCGCCATGCTGGGAACAGGCGCGTCCTCCACAATTTCCGGTTCCGCCTTTGCGTAGGCGGGGACGGGAGAAGGGCGGAGGGATCGAACCTCTTAAAGGGACCGTGCCTCGTTTGGAGGCGGGTTTCTTCCCCTATGGGGCCTCGGGTTTATCTGCGAGTGCTGTGATTTGTCTTCCCCAAGAAGACTCGCTTTGAGGATCATTGGCCCTGCACCCACTGCTTCCTCCCGAGCTAACCCTGATGTGACTTTTCCTCCTACAAATGTGCCAGGGGCACCCGGCGATTTGTTAAGCGCTTTACAAACATTATCTCGGAGAGTCCTGTTAGGATTTGAGTTTACAAATAATGAGCCCGGCTCAACGTCGCTAAAAAACAGACCGACCTTAGTTAGTGAATTGGAATCAAATTGATAATTTGCCCGATTTCAGAATCCGTGCTCTTACTATTAGATAGAATGACCTATCTGGGGGCGCCTGGGTGGCTCATTGGGTTAAAGCCTCTGCTTTCGGCTCAGGTCATGATCCCAGGGTCCTCGGCTCGAGCCCCGCATTGGGCTCTCTGCTCAGCAGGGAACCTGCTTTCCTTTCTCTCTCTCTGCCTGCCTCTCTGCCTACTTGTGATCTCTGTCTGTCAAATAAATAAATAAATAAAATCTTAAAAAAAAAAAAAAAAAGAATGACCTATCTGTTCGCTTAGAGAAGAACTTATGGAAGGCTCTTTTACAGAACTTAAGAAGTCTATCACAAAGATAGGCATTACACTTTTAATTTTAATACCGGACATTTATGTGAGCGAGAGGACCTATAAGAAAAGGAGATGAAAGAATTTACGACTACACAAGGGAGAATTTGGATTTTTTTTTTCCCTCCATCTCTTCTTTTTGAATTTCTGTATATTCTAAAAATTCTGTAGTGGGGATATCTTTTATCCTGGGCAGCACATTTACTTTCTTTAGTGAAAGTTTAAGCCATTTTCTCTAACGTAAAAACATTCGGATTTGGTGCGGCCTCATTCACAGTAGCACTAATTTTGAAGAATTGCGTTTTGCAGTGTTTCTCAAATTTTAGTGACCATCAGAGTTATCTCGAAGCTTTTTTCAGACACCAAGAATGGGACCCACCCTCATTTCTGATTATGAAAATTTAGGGTGGGGCAGGAAAATTTACATATGTCACGAGCTTCCAAATGATGCTGAGATTGCTAGTCCAGACCCCACACTTTGAGAAGCACAGGATAAGGTATTATGTGAAGTATCATTTTGGAATGGGAAGACATGAAATTTTTTGCAATAATATTTTGGTAGTGTAACTACAGTTAAAATTTTTCTTAAACCAATTTTTCGGCATTACTGTGCTATTTTTTTTTTTTTTGAAGATTTTATTTAAAGTAATCTCTATACCCAAGGTGGGGTTTGAACCTACAGCCAGGAGATCAAGAGTCACAGGCGCCCCTACTATGGTTCTTGCAAATTAAAATATTTATGTTTAAAAAAAAAAGTTTGTGCTTAATTATTTAAATGATAGGAAATTTGAAATTTACTAGTTCAATTTTTAAACTTCCTGTTTTAAGTTGACTTCTCTCTTTTCTCTCTTTCCTCCCTTTATCCTTCCCTTTTTTCTTTTCTCTCTCTTTCCCTCCATATAAATATTTATCAAGCATTTATTGTGTACCCAACATCAGGTGAGACCCTACAGACTCAAAAAATGAAGAGATGAGAACCCAGTAATTAAACATTTTATGTTTACTAGGGGAAAAGATAAACAGTTAAAGTACTGTTCGATAATTGTTAAAATAGAAGCTTGTACTAGTTACTGTATTAGGACAAGGGTTTTGATTAAGATATTCCCCAAAAGGGGCGCCTGGGTGGCTCAGTGGGTTAAAGCCTCTGCCTTCAGCTCAGGTCGTCATCTCTCTCTCTCTGTAAAATAAATAAAATCTTTAAAAAAAAAAAAAAAAAAGATATTCCCCAAAAAACAGTACTTGGTACACAATGTTTTTGTTTTTGTTTTTAAGATTTTATTTATTTGATAGACAGAGATTACAAGTAGTCAGAGAGGCAGGCAGGGAGAGAGGAAGCAGGCTCCCTGCTGAGCAGAGAGCCCGATGTGGGGCTGGATCCCAGGACCCGGAGACCATGACCTGAGTGGACGGCAGAGGCTTTAACCCACTGAGCCAGCCAGGCGCCCCGAATGTTTTGTAACTAGTATAAGAACAATTAAAAATCCAGGCCAGTGGGGCACCTAGGTGGCTCAGATGGTTAAATGTCTGTCTGCTCAGGTTCATGATCTCCAGCTCAGCAGGGAATCTGTTTCTCCCTCTCCCTCTGCCTCTTGTGCTCTCTCTCTCTCTCAAATGAACAAATAAAATCTTTTAAAAAATAAAATAAAATAATAAATTAAAAATCCAAGCCAAACTGGAGGAACAGAGCTGTATCTTCATAGGATACATGACCATCTAAAAACATAGAGCTTAGAAAACTAACTTTAAGTTAAAATAATACCGATGATATATATAATATACAACTCAACCACCATCTCTCAGCCTCATCCTGAGATGAAATTTAGCAAAGGGGTTGGGGTCAAGGATTGGCTAAAATCCTGGGATAAGTTTCAGAATATCTGCTGCTATATTATCTGGTAATAAGACATTGGCTTTGCATTTTGACTACCATTTTGATTCACTTTCAAAATGTTCTAGTTTGATTTTCAAAATACAATCTAAAGCTAATCAGAATGTGAAAGGAAGACTTTCTAGACTGAGTTTATTGAAATTACAGCTAAATTAACTATTTTCCTGATGACTGCAGGAATATTGCTGATCTTTGTATTTGTATCATTTTTCGTCTAGATTTGAACAATTAACTGTCTGAAAATGCTTATGCTCTGCTGATTAATGCCATTACAAAATCTATTTTTATGATTCTAATGATTACCTTCATTTTCTCCTAGGATGTGTAAACTGAAAAGAACAAAAGAGTCTCCCACAAAAGTAAAAAAACAATAGAGAATTTTTAACTCTTGAACTGATGGTAAACTTAGAAATTCACTTTCTCAGGTCACTGCCCACATTCTCCACCAAAAATACAAATAAATACCCCCCCATGACTTTTCCTTCTTACTACTGCCCCTTAATCTATTTTCTTATGGCTCAGTAAAATACATTATTTCTTTGCACACATAGTCTCTGATCACATGATTACTATATAGTCTTGTTTTAGTAAATTCTTAAATCTCAATCCTAAGTATTTCAGTGACAAATTTCTTTGTCACATAAAAATTATATGGAATTCTATAGGAAGCAAAGGACATGAATAGCACAATCTGATATGGAAATTGCTATATAGAAACATTAGGAGAGATTACCAGTGAAGACTGAAGCAAAATTCCTCTGGGATTTAAGGGCTCTTCACATTGGCTCTTTCCATTCTTGTTTCTAGCATAGACCTTATTATGTTAACAGATCATTTCACCCATCACAAAACTTCCAGAGGAAACCATCCTGGGGGTGCCTGCCTGGCTCAGTGGGTAGAGCATGCAATGCTTGGTCTTGGGGGTGTGAATTTGAGCCTCACATTGAGTGTAGAGATTACTTAAAAAAAAATAAATAAATAAAATTTTGGTAACAAAAAAGAAAAAAAGAAAAAAACAAACCTGACTCCCCTTTCCATGGTTAGAACAGAAACATTAGGAGGTTAAAGACTGTTACCCTCCAAAATATTTTCTTTTTCATTTGACTGTGATGGGCAATTTTTTCCTCTCATAGTAAGTTCATAATATCAAAACTCTGTTAGATTTTTTTTTTTTTAAGATTTTATTTATTTGACAGACAGAGATCACAAGTAGGCAGAGCAGCAGCCAGAGAGAGAGGGGGAGAAGCAGGCTCCCCGCTGAGCAGAGAGCCTGATGCCGGGCTTGATCCCAGGACCCTGGGATCATGACCGGAGCCGAAGGCAGAGGGAGGCTTAACCCATTGAGCCACCCAGGCGCCCCCTGGTAGATTTTTATTTTAAGTTTTATTTATTTATTTTTAGTAATCTCTACACCCAATGTAGGGCTTGAATTTACAACCCCCAGATCGAGTCATATGCCCCTCGCACGGAGCCAGCCAGGGTCCCTGGTAGATATTTAGCATATCTGGAATACTGCCAAGTCCATGCTTTTGTCTCTCAAGTACTTCTGCTTGTGTCCTCTCTTTGGTTCACCAGTCTAACACCCTACTATCCAATTAACTTTGACTCATCATTCAATAAAACCTATTCTATGCCAAGTACATTTCATCTTGAATGTTATGTTTAGGACCTAAAACAGACTCTATGAGGGTCTGCTTCTCAAAAAAACAGTGTAAGATAAGTTGGCTTTTCTCAGTTTCACCACCAATATCCCTTCTAACAGGCTCAAAATTTAGAATCATCTCTACACTTTAGTTTTCTCCTTATTCTTCAGGAATCCCTTTATCTAATTAGTAAGCAACTGATTTTTTTTAAGATTTTTTTTTATTTATTTATTTGTCAGAGAGAGAGAGCAAGAGTGAGCAGAGGCAGATAGAATGGCAGGCAGAGGCAGAGGGAGAAGCAGGCTCCCCGCCGAGCAAGGAGCCCGATGTGGGACTCAATCCCAGGACTCTGGGATCATGACCTGAGCCGAAGGCAGCCGCTTAACCCACTGAGCCACCCAGGCATCCCAAGCAACTGATATTTTTAATTGTTCATTTTTTCAATCCTAAATTCTTACCCTATCTCAGGTATTTATCATTTTCCATTTACCTTGCTTTACTGGCTCCTTTCTCCTCCTCCTTCTTCTTTTTCTTTTTTAAAGATTTTATTTATTCACTTGACAAAGAGGCAGTGAGAGAGAGAACACAAGCAAGGGGAGTGGAAGAGGGAGAAGCAGCCTTCCTACTGAGCAGGGAGCCCGAAATGGGGCTTGATCCCAGGACCCCAGGATCATGACCTGAGCCAAAGGCAGACTCTTAATGAGTCTTAATGTCACCCAGACACCCCTCTTCCTTCTTTTTGATTC